GGGGGGGGGGGGGGGAGAGAGAGAGAGAGAGAGAGAGAGAGAGAGGAGGTGCAGGTAGAGAGGGGAAGAAACCAGGCCATGGTGGGTTTTGAAAGTCATGCTGTCAACCTTGTTTAACCAATTTATCCTGGCTTCCCCCAGCGCAGGGGCAGGGCTGGCTGTGTAATTTAGAAAGATTACTTAATGCTGGTACAGAGATTGGGTGGGTGGGAGAGGCTGTGAGAAGCTCAGAGTGCAGCAGGGAGGTTCTTGCAGCCATCCAGATGAGAACGGTGGAGGGCCTGGAACAGACTTTCCAAAGTCAGACTGCCAATATTTCAGCAAAAAGATAGGCAGGGTTCCATGGCATGAATCTCTGGGCGGGATAGATGTCTCAAGCGGGCTGGGAAGCTCTCAAAAATGTACATGACACTGTGCAATCCCACACAGGGTAGTCTGTGTCCCAGCAATGAAGGAAGAGGGGAGGTGACTACAGAAATCAGTGTATAGCAGGAGAACTCTTTGCCAAATTGCTGTGTTAAGCAGGCTTGAACAGAGAAGGGAAGGACAGATGTGAGACAGGACTATGGGCCTGTAAAGAGGGTTTCTGGCAGATAAAAATAGGTAGAGGTTTGTGAAAGATGCTAGGGGCAACCCAGGCTTGTTTAGCTATGATCATAGCCAGTCAAGATCAAGGGAGCCAGAGGCTGCAGTTGGGCCTGATGGCACAGCACAGGTGGGGAGTATACGAAGAGCAGGGCTCCTTGCTGCCCCCTCTGCAGGAGAGCGGCCTGCAGACCCAGAGGGCAGCAGTAGATGAAACAGAGGCCCAGGGAGCCCTGGAGGTGGGATGGGCCCTTCCCTCTCCACTGCTGCTGGGGTGCTTGAAGGGCCTCTCCCCATAAAACAACATTTTTGGCACAAAGGAAGCTTGTCAATGAGACTGTTGGGGCCACTTTGTCCCACCTGAGAAAGTCAAGAGCACGGGGGCCTGGAGAAGGGAAAATGTGGCTCTGAGTTTTAAAAAGAGTCCTGGGCTAGGATCCTTGCGGATTATGGAAGGAATGGTTAGTGAGCATTAGAAAAGGAAGTGGGAAGCTTCCGGATAGCTGGAAACATGGCGGTTCCTGGAGGGTGGTGCGCCCAGGGAGGGCATGGAAGCTCCATTTCCTTCCTCCACACCTTGTCGTACGCATCTGTTCGTTGTATCCTTGGTACCCCATGTATGAAGGACATAAAATGATCTTGACACCTGAAATACCCACGGTGTCCCGGGTGATGTCAGAAAAACACTAATGAGGACAGCAGTGCCCAGGAGGTTTCCATAATAAAATGGAAATGGCTTACACAGAATCATGCAACCTGAGGAATGTAAGGCGGAGATATGAGCAGGGAGCCTCATTACCCCTAGGACTGACTGTGGAACTGTGTGAGGAGCTACTGGATTCTACAGTGCTCTCAACTGACTAGCAAACAACTGCTTGGTTTGTGGATGGCAGTTTCAAGGTAAATGGACAACCTCCTGTTTGGAAGACTGCTACTATGACCCAGGAAGGTAAATTGGTGGGCTGAATCACATGCTGCTTTCCTAACAGTGATGGAAGAATTGAACGATGCCAGAAGCCCCTGTGTTTGGGTTTTTACTGACTCATGGGTATTGGCCAATGGCCTGGCCAGATGGTTAGGCAGAAGGGCAATAGAAACCTGGCCTATTGAAGAAATGCCCTTATGGGGCATGGCCCTGTGGAAGTATGAGGGGTGCCTTAAACTAGAACATGTCAACACCCACTAAGAAAGCCCCTCTCCATGTTTGCAAGGTGACTGGAATTGACAAGCAGATATCTCTGTATTTCTTTGAGGTGTTCACCTGGGTCCCTGAAATGAGCAGAGATGGGGATGCAGAGAAGGGCTGGATCTAGACATGTTCCTCTTGCACCGTCTCAGGCACAAACTACTAATAAGACTGTTCTGTTTGTCAGCAAGGGAGCCAGAGACTGCCAATGGCTATGTGGCTGTTTCCCTGGGGGGAAGGCCCTAAAGAAAGCTGGCAAGTGAGTGGTACCCTGAGGGGCTACAAGTGGGTCTTGACAGAAATAGACACTGGCTCTGGAGGGGGCTTTGCTTACCTGGTGGAAGATGAAAATTTTTAGAGTGCCATAAAAACAAAAACAAAAACAAAAAACAACAGAATAGAAAATATTGCATGGATTTGGGTGACCAACCATCCTTTTTTCAGACCAAGGAACACAGTGTACAGCCCATAATATCCAGCAATGAGCAGATAGCTATCCTCCTCAGAGTAAGAGTTTGAAAGAGAAGTGGAACAGGCAATTAAAACATTAATTGCTGGCCGGGCGCAGTGGCTCACACCTGTAATTCTGGCACTTTGGGGGGTCTGATGTGGGTGGATCACTTAGGTCAGGAGTTCAAGACCAGCCTGGCCAACATGGTGAAACACCGTCTCTACTAAAAATACAAAAATACAAAAAATAAAAAAATTAACTGTGTGTAGTGGCACACACCTATAATCCCAGCTACTCCAGGGGCTCAGGCAGGAGGCAGGAGGCAGGGGGCAGGAGAATGCTTGAACCCATGAGGTGATGGTTGCAGTGGGCCGAGATTGCACCACTGCACTCCAGCCTGGGTGACAGAGTGAGACTTTGTCTCAAAAATAAATAAATGAAATAAAAATAAAAATTGGTTTTCTAAGACAAAGTCGAGATGAAAGCACGCAGGGCTGGTTTACACGCCTTCACAAGCACGTGCTCACCTCAACGTGAGTGGGACTGAAGGAGCATCCCCACTGGGGTTTTCTCTGTTTTTCTGGTTGATCTGGGGAAGATGGGGTAGGGAGGGTGCTGGTATGATGTTGCAATTCTTGCCAAGGGAGGAGTACACTGGTATAACGACTATATATATTTTTTCTTCCCCAAATCACCTCAAAAAATTTTTTTTCCCTTACCTGATGCAGTGGTTCCAGGGCTGCAACTACAAGTGCTGGAAGCAGGGATGATTTCTAAGCAAGAAACTGTCACTGTGCCTTTAAACCTTATGTCAGAATTCTTAAGGGCCTGATGGGGGACGGTTGTGCCTTTACCCCATCTAGCAAAAGTGGGGCTAAGAGTGAATACAGCTGTATTGCCTGGCAGTAAAAACAGCTCACTAGTTCTGCACGTGTGTAACTTTACCCTATCTGAATGGGAGTGAACTGAGGAGGAGGTACTTGCTAAGCTTGTATTGCTGCCTGCAAACTAGACTAGCACAGTGGGGATTCTAATGTCCCTTCCAAAGGTGAAAAAGTTTGAGTATCAATGGAGAGAAGGAGAAACAGTAGCTGAGGGTAAAGGAATGAATAAATGGGTTATAAATGGAGGGAAGTTCAACATCACGTTAACACCTTCAAAGAGGCTCAGAGCAAGTGACCACATTATTGCTTAGCTCAATTATAACAGATGCCCAAAAGGTGAAAACTATGTTTGCTGAGACCACTCATGCTTTTGGAACCTGACAAGATTGAAAGGAAGCCTACAAGCCTGAGTGGTTTCCCCGGGAGACATACTCGTACCGTATAGTGATGGACTGGACTAATTGCTAATGACTGAATGGGATTCTCGCAATGGGCCAGTATGTCTCTTTTTTTTAAATGAAAAATAATTCCCGGAACTGAGCAGATGTGGCAGTATGTTCTGAGTTGTACATTCTTTTGATGTGAAGGATCCATGTTTGAAAACAAGGGAATGGCCTGTGATATTATGATTGTGTGTGTGTGTGTGTGTGTGTGTGTGTGTGTGTAGGTTTTTGTCCATGGTTCCTGGCTCATAATTCCTATAGCTGCTGATACAGTCTTGATACAAACATAGCCTTTGACACATGGTTGTCATAATGTTGGGGTGCTTACAGAATCTTGCTCTCTAAACTTCTCCTGTCCTCCTTTTACCTGCCCAAGTCAAGACTCTAATATGATTGTGGGTCAAAAGACCCTGATTCCAGAGAGGGTCCTGCCCCATACTCTGGGGGAAGGAATGCTGCACAGAGAGGCCAGGAAGAATCCAAACAGACAGGCCTTGCTGGGTTCCCACTCTGTATGTCAGTGTGAGATAATACTCTTTTTGTCCAATCATATTTCTATGGAGTTATCAATCACGCCTATGGAATGAAGCCTCCATAAAGCCCCAAAAGGAGAGCATTCGGAGAACTTCTAGATAGCTGAACATGAGGTTCTTGGAGTGTGGTGAGCCCAGGGAGGGCATGAAAGCTCCGTGCCCCTCCCCCCATACCTCGCCCTATGCACCTCTTCATTGCATCCTTTGTAATATTTTTTATGGTACATCAGTAAATGTAAAAAAAAAAAAAAAAGACAGCAGAAAAGGAAAGGGGTCACCAGGAGCCAGCATGGGCTCCCTACAACTAGTTGTGTGAGGCCAACTGAAAAACAAGGAGTGTTGAGAAATAGGTAGGAAATGCCCATTGAATCCAATTCAAAAGGCACAAAAGGTATACTATGAAAAGTCTTCCTCTCACCCTTCGCTCTTAGCCAAACTGTTCCTCTATATGAATATCTGTCTATCTACCTATCTATGATCTATCATCTATTTTTTCGTCTATTATCTACTTATCATCTAATCTTTTTCATCTTTTTTTTTATCTATTTTTTATCATCTCTGTAATCTTTTTCATCTATTTATCATCTATCTGTCTCTATCTAATCTACCTACCTACCCACCTATCCTTTAAAAAAGACAAACTGTAGCATATTTTCCTTGCCATTTAAAAACTCTAACTTTCCTTTCCTCTAACAATGTGTCTTGAAGATTTTTACATAGCAGTGCATGTGAAGCTGCCTCATTCTTTTCATGCTGGTGGAGCACCGTGGTACAGATGCCTCATCATGGATTCAACCAGCCTCTGAAAGTCTCCAGTCCTTGTCCTTATCAAGATTTCCACTGTGAATAACGCATCATTGCCGACACACAGGGAGTTGTCAACAGGTATATATGTGTACATGTCACTTCCCATGTGGTTTATACATGTGCTATGTTTGTGTTTCTATAGAATAAATACTCAGAGGTGAAATTGTTGAGCCAAAGAATATATGTGCATTTAATATTTATAAGTATTGCCAAATTTCCAGATTTCATAGAAGTTGTGGCCATTTTTGAATGTCTGAGAAGGTCTTTTCCGCTATGTTTTTGCTGATGGTGTGAAAAGAGAGTAAGTGAAAATAAGGAAGACCAAGGTCCAAAGACAAGCCACGGGGCATCCCAGTGTTGAAGAGTTGGGAAGCTGGAAAGAGCCAGCAGGGGAGGCTAAGGAGGAGCATCCAGGGAGGAAGGAGGAAAACCAGAGAGTGTGATGACTTGAAAATCAGTGAGAAAAACACCTTTCCATAAGAGGGGGTGGGCAAATGTGACAAAAGGTACCAAGAGGCCAAGTGGGATGAGGATTGAGGATTGATCGTAGGACTGGTATCCTGACCAGAGTACTTTCCAAGAGTGGTGGGGGTGAGCACTTGACCCACCACTAGCTAGTGATTCTGATGAGGGCCTAGGTGTGATGCTGTTCCCCCTGGGAGGAAAAGTGAACCATCAGTGAGAGAATCAGGACCCAGAAGAACAAAGACAGGCAGCCATGATACAAGGAAGGATACAAGACACAGTGATACCAGGTGACATTTCCAGGTCCCAAATGCCAACTACGTAATGAGAGAGGGTAAAGGTACCGAGTGCAAAAGACTTAGAGACTTGTTGACAACTCCCTGTGTGTCAGCAATGATGTGTAGTAATCTGAAGACAAGGCAATTACAGGGTGGGTTAATGGACATATCGTATCCAGAATGAGAGAGGCGGTTGGCCCTCCTGGGCTCAGCAGCAGCAAGTCCACATGAGGGGAACTGGGTTCAGCTAGGGGACAGTAAGGTGGGAGACACAGTGGAATCTGTTCAAAGAGCACACAGGGAGTTAAATAATTGTAAAGGAGGCTTCGTGAGAAATGGGTAAAGAACTAGAATGTCGAGCTTGGAAAATAATCGACTTGGGGGAACTTCTATTGCAAGAAGAGCTCTTCTAGGAGGAAGGGACTTAGGTGGGTTGTGTGTCTAAAAATGGTGGAATGCTGGCCAGGTGCAGTGGTTCATGCCTGCAATCCTAGCACTTTGGGAGGCCAAGGGGGGAGGATCGCTTGAGGCTAACAATTTGACACTAGTCTGGACAACATAATGAGACTCCCGTCTCTACAAAAACAAAGAACAAGGCTGAGTGAGTGGAAGACGGAAGAATACAGAAATTGTGCTATGCCTTTTCCTACATTTATTTGTGAATTCTATGTGAAAATTTGTAATCTGTGAGTATTTCAAGGCATTTCCAACCCAGGTGTGTTCTAATCTACACCTGTTGAATGCCTGAATCTTAAGTCTTGAGGAAACAATGTCTCTTCTAAAGTCCACCTGAAGGAAATGAGCAACTTCTAATTTGATCATTAATCAGCACAGAGGAGGCTTATAATGGTGGCCACCGGGCTGGGGCTTGGTCTTCCTTGGGCTACCTGGTCACTGACTTGGCAGACAGCATGACTGGCTGGCTCCCCACATCGCCACTTCTCCCTGCTCCCAAACACCTGGGCACTCAGGGAAAATTGGGAGGGAAGGGAGGCCTGCCTCCTGTTCTCAGAGAACAGGACAGGCTCTGGGGCTGGAGCCGGTGTAGTGACCATATCCTGGGTCAGGCAGAAGGGAAAGGGCAGCCTCCAAACTACACTTCCTGTAGCACTCTGGGTCAGTGCTGTCTCCCAGAACTACACTGTGAGCCATATCTCTATTCGAACATTTTCTAGAAGCCTCATCAAAAAGTAAAATGCACAGGTGAACTTGCTATCAATATATGAAAACTTGTTGAGATAATTTACATTATTTTTCATGCAAACTCTTCACAATGTGGCATGTATTCCACACCAGAGCATGTCTTGATTTGGGTCAGCCATGTTTCAAATGCTCAACAGCCACATGTATGGATGGTGGGGTCTTAGTCAGTCACCTGTCTCACTGGTCTTCCCTGTGCATGAAGGAGCCAGGGCTGCCAGTGGGTGTGCAGGGACTTGATGTCACCAGTCTAGTCTGTTCCACTGGTGCCTGCCCGGCTGTGGAAGGGGCTCCTGGGGACCAACAGGGGTGATTTGCTGAGTGTACATTTCTGTGTGGGAAGGCAGCCCATGCCTGTGTGTGCCCGCTGTTTTCCAATTATGGTAAATATTAACGAAGCAGTGGGAGCCAGGACCTCCAGGAGGCCTGGGCTCCCCCACGGGGAGGAATGGAGATAATGCTGTGTACCTTAGATAGGGCTTTAAACCTGGCCTCTGAGGCTGCAGGGTTTGAGCTGCCAGGGAAACATGGGCATGACTTTTGTTCCTAGGACCAGGATTCCTTGCTGGGAGATTCTCAGAACCCGCAGACCTCAGGAGTGCCACTTGCCTCCACATTTGCAATGGCCTCACCCCACTTCTTACAGTCTCCCACTCACAACCCACCCTCTTCACTTAAAGAGCTCTTCTCTCCAAATCCACTTGCCAACAAGCCAGCTCAGCCAAACTTAAGGGGACAGGAAACAGATTGGGTTCAGATGATTTCTTTAAAAAAGAAACCCAAACCAATAAGCACGTACTGAGCGCTTGCAGATGCTGGGTTGTCACATATACTTCCTCCTTCTCCCAGCAAGCAGGGCTGTGGCTGTCACCCCAGCCCAGGAGAGGGACGTGAGAGCCAAAGGAGTCAGCATCACAGCCTGGGGACAAAGCTGGGATTTTGACTGGATGCCATCTAGTTAGCTATCAGAAAGTTCTCTCCAAGAGGGGAAAACACTAGTGTTTATTTGTATTTGCATAAACAAACACTGAAAAAATACGTAAGAAACTAATGTAAGTGATTACATGTGGTGGAGGGAATGGGAAGGTGGGGGTGGGTATTGGGAGTGAGAATTCTCAAGGATAATTACTTTGATATTTGAACTGTGAGGATATATTACCTAATTTGAAAAACAAGTGAGATGAAATTTTAACTGTTTATTTTTTCCCGGTAGAGGAAGAAGTTTTCAGAGTAAATGAGCTTGAACACCTAATTGAAATTCATGTGATATCCAGAATGTACGTATGCGTTTTATTTTATTTTCAATAAAGATAATCCACTTAAATGCCCAAAAAGTGAGTTCCGGTCATGGCATGGAATTGGTCTTCTTCAACTTCTATCTTTGGCTCCCAGTTTCCAGTATGATGAGGAAAAGCATCTCCTTCTATCACTCAGCCCCCAACTTGGGTGGGAAGATGAAGCTCCGTCCTCAGGGAGCCCCAGTCTGAGGGGAGACACAGCCCCATCCTCAGGGGGTCCCAGTCTGAGGTGAGATGCAGCCTTCCTCAGGGAGTCCCGTTCTGAGGGGAGATGCAGCCCTGTCCGCCCTGTCCTCAGGGAACCTTAGTCTGAAGGGAGACGCATAGCTTTGCCCTGAGGGAGTTCCCAAGCCCAACTTCTCTGGGTCAGGTAAAATTAGTGGAGGGAATTCCTCTGTGTTCTGAAGCATCCACTTTCTCTCTGGGCCTGGCTCCCCTTCTCATCCCAGGAAACCTCCTAAGTTCCCAGCCTATTCCGTGTGTCAACACTTGTTTCCCTGGAGTGTTTGGAGTGTTTGTCCTCGGTCCCTGGAAGGGCTTTATGTGTCCTTCCTTGCCTTCAGCCTCTTCCAAAGCCAGGGAATGCATGTCCTGAGGGGCTGGGGGAGGCCCATGCTGGCTTCCTCGATAGCCCCCCAGGACACATGCCCTACATCTGCCACTCTGAGGGCTGAGCTGGGCTGGGCTGAGGAGGGGCCAGTGTGCCAGGTGGTGTGGAGCTCTGGGGGACTGCCCTGCCCTTTACCCATGCAGCGTGTGGGCAGTGAGACTGCAGGGAGAGCCCAGGGACTTCTCCCCGCTCAGGGATCACATCCAGTGAGACTATCTGGAGACAGGCAGGAGGATGGGTGCGAGGCCTTCAATCCTTCTTGGAGTTCACAAAGTCATTGACCTGGGAAGGCAAGGGCATGCCAGGGCAGGGTAGGCTGGGCACACTTGCTGTGTTTTCTTCTGAGCAGAGGGTGCTGTTTCCAGCCGAGATGGAGGGCCGAGCCCTAGCTCCAGCCAAGCTCCTCAGCACCCTTGAGGGGCAGCTAGTGGCCTGCAGGTACCACCCCCCCCCAGGGAAGGGCTGTACCTGCCACTTCCCCAACTTACATTCCCCTTTCTTCCCCCACTGGCAGAGGAGGGGTTCTAGGGGTCTAGACCAGGCCTGAGAGGCTGGAGTAATGCGTAGGGATAGAATGATGGAATCTGGTTGGGAGACAGGTGGCAATGAAATGAACCCCTTTTTACATATTCCCCCTCTGAGCTCACCTACCCATCAGTCTTCTTGTCTCCATTCTTGACCTCCTTCCAGCCTGGCTGTGAAGATGAGAGGGAGACCCCAGCTACCTGCAAGGTCTGAGCAAGGACCAGATGGAGAGAGCAGCCATGCTATACAGAGTGCAGACTAGAATCTGTGATTCCCAGCACCTCAGAGCTAGAGAGGGAGGGATCTTGGGTCGTCCAGTCCAATGCCGTCATTGGCCAAGTGGGGTAACTGAGACCCATAGAGGTTTTTCCAAAACATACTGGAGAAACCACAGGAGAAGGCCCAATGATGGGACCTAGAAAGCAATTTGCTGGGGTGATGTGGGAAAATGCCAAGGTCAGAGTGAGTGAGGTGGCAAAGGAGACAGATATCCAGTGGGGTGGAGGAGGGGCTGGGGTGTTTGCCCAGAGTAGCAGGCCTGCAGGAAAAGAAAACAAAGCATTTAGGATTCTTGCAAGACAGGACCTCAGGCAACCCCGAGGGTCAGCGGTCAGCTGGTCAGCTCCTTAGGAATGTGGGCCAGTCAGCAGCACCTTTGACTCGGCACCCTTGCTCTATAGCCCAGAGTGATCTTGCAAAAGTCATTCCACCACAGAGATCTCAGTCTCTCCATCTGAAAAGGGAAGCCAACACTCAGCCTTCTCAAAGGACCTCCCATCTCCACATTTCTACATTACAGACTGAATGACACAATAGATTTGAAATACTTTTCTGTTTGGCATTTCTTGCTCTCCCTGTGCCTCAATTTCCACATCTATAAAATGGGGATAAAAATGATACCTATTTCTTAAGGTGGTTGTGAGGATTAAATGAACGAATACATGAAATGCATTTAGTACAGTGCTCAGCCCACAGAAAGTTTTTTGTTTTGTTTTGTTTTAGAGACAGGGTCTTGCTCTGTTGCCTAGGCTGGAGTACAGTGGTGCGATCATAGCTCACTGCAGCTTTGATCTCGTGGGCTCAAGCGATCTTCCTGCCTTAGACTCCTGAGTAACTGGGACTACAGATACACACCACCACACCCAGCGAATTTTAAAAATTTTTAGTAGAGATGAAGTCTTGCTATGTTGCCCAGCCTAGTCTTGAACTCCTGGCCTCAAGTGATCTTCTGGTCTCAGCTTCCCAAAGTGCTGGGATTACAGGTGTGAGCCACTGTGCCTATCCCAGAAAGCCCTTAATAAATGTTACTTGTCATTATTATTTTTGGTAATTAAGAGGGCAGTTGATTGCTATGCAGTCGTTAATGGCTCGTAGCGGGTTTCTTTTTTAATGAATGAACTGAGACAGGGCCTCTTTGGGGCATTTTAAGGACAGCCTGGCTCTAGGGAGGTCCACATCCTATTCCAGGTGCCACCCACATCCAGGCTGGAGAGCCCAGAGAACAGTGAGACCCAGGCCTGGAAGCACCTAAAACCCTCCTGCAGGAGCAGCAAGGCCACTCTGGTGTCCCCAGCCCGGGGGCTCTGGGCCTGGGTTTTGGTCTTGGGCCTAAGAGGAAGCATCAGCAGCCCCTACCCCACCTCCATCCAGCTGGAGGCACCCTACCATGAGGGTGGCTGGAGATAGGGGAACAGCGAGAGGCATCCTGTGGAGGGTGTTCAAGAGGCTGTCTTGCTGAGGGTCAATATTTGCTCAGCTCTTGGAATGGCACAGTCTATCACTGCCTCTGGCCCCTTACATTCCGGCCATCGCACCCCTATCTCAGGAACGTGCTCCCATCAACTCGGGAGACCACGCCCGACATCGGCAGTGGTCTGCCTTGGTCAGCCACTGCTCCCACCCCCATTCCCAGGCAGGAAACCAGAGGCCCCTAGAGGGAAGAGGGTGTGTACTCAGCCAGGTGCCTGGGAGATGCAGGCCCAGCCTGTGAGCTGAGCACTGCCCCATCTGCCACCCCATGATGAAGCCCCTGCCTCCTTGCCAGCTGCAGCCAATGGGGCAGGGGCAGGACCTCACCAGCTTCCCTCCTAGACTCCTTGTTAAATTAGATAATTATTTCAGCAAACATTTCCTAGGCACCTACTGTATTCCCAAGAGGATTCAAAAAGAAAAAAGAGTCTTCCTAGGCTTTCTAGAAACTTGTAATCAAATAGATTTATTTCAGCCATGAATAATGTCTAGGGCCTCACTTAAAAGAAAAGAATCCTAAGGGGACCCCAGTGTCATCTTAATATGGTATTCACTTAGATCTGTGCAAACACGCAACCAAGATACAAAACACTTTTCGTGTTCAGCTTATATACAACTCAAAAAGGAGGATCAATTTGCAGTTTAATTATAAAGAAAACAACAAACTGATTTCGAATGGAGGGTACACACTTTAGTGTGATGTCTCTTGCTGAAACCAAATCATCACTTACAGTGTGAACAGTGTGCAGGCTTTTTTGTTTTTCTTTGAAGGGGGACCGAAGAGGAATTTGCTTTCACCGGACTCAATGCTTCATTTACATATTAAGTCCCACCCCTGCCCTTTTCTCATTGGCCAAGACCACTAGCCCTAATGAGCTCATGGGGGAGTATGCTTAAACTCATTTCCTGAGGTTAGCTTGCAACTGAGAAAACCCTAGCCAATGAGGGTGGAGGCCTCGGGACAGCATTAATTCCAGAGAGGGTCAGGCTCCGCCTTCCCCTTGGCCCTGACAGTGTCTAGAGCTCTTGATTTGCATCCATTAACTCAGTTGCACCCCATTCAAACCCGGAGAAGTGAGCAGGGCAAATTCCTTCCAGGGTTCTTGAGTCTTTTACTCTGCCTCTGTGAGGGAAGGTGTAATTTTTAAAACTTCTACTTTTATAAGAAGAAAATAATATATATTTTTATGTCTCTCTTTTCTCTATAGAAGATAGTGTACTTTGCACGTGGCTCCGTAACTCTCTTAATTCCACGTCTTTGAAGGATGTTCACTAATGGTACAAAAATAATATCCTGATTTTCTTTTTTTTACAGCTGCATAGTATTCCATCGTATGGCTGATCTGTCAGGTATTAAACCAGGCTTTCTTTGAGTTAGGTCATTTCCATCTTTAGCTTTTACAAACAATGCTGCAGTCAATAATCTTGTACATGCGTCATTTCGCACGTACTAGGTATATCTATAGCATCGATTCCCAGACCTGGGATTGTTCCTTTTGCCAAATTGTTCTCCACCGAGATTGTAACAATTAAACTTCCACCAACAATGCATGAGGGTGATTATTTCCCCACAGCCTGGCCCACAAAGTGTGCTACCAATTTGTTTTTGGATTTTTGCCCATCTGATAGGTGAAACATTGTATCTTAATATAGTTCTAATTTGGACATACTTTTATGTACAAGGCTTCTGGTTGGGATGTGGGGAATGCAGTGTTATATTGGGGAACAAAGGATTTTCTAAGGCCAAGCTGTTGAGGAAGGCCCTATGCACTTGACCTCATTTAACCAGTGGACAACTGGCCAGAGAGAGATTGGAATCACCCAAGTCATCTCCAAATTTAAAGGTACCTGGAAAAGCCACTCGGCTTCTTCTTGCTTGTGGATAGGTGGGATGGGGTCTGCACATCAGCTTAGGGCAACCTGTCAGGATGTTGCCAGGTCCCTGGGGTCTCAAGTCATTGGAGAGGTTTTCCCTGAGACCTAACTTCCTCCACTAGAGATCATTCCATTCTTCCAGGTTGGTACCCTATGGATTGGAAGAATCACAAGATGGGAAACGCCAGTGAATGAATAGGTGCTTACGTCCCTTTTGGTCTCACTGGAATCACAATTTCCATGGTGTCCCTCAGAGACCACAGACCCCGCTGGAGGAGAAAAGAAGGTTAATTTCACATGATTTGTTCTATGTAAACCCATTCTTGCTCCATGCAACCCCCAGTCTCTTTCCTGACACTCATTCCTCTAAGGAGAGGCCAGAGGCCACCTGACCCTAAGCCCTCAGCCTGGCATTGCTAAGGCCAGGGAGGCTTCATGTGGGATCCTCTCCCCTGGGAATCTGCCTGTGTGTTTAAATGCTGGGTCTCCTTCCTTGCAAACTGTCAGTCTTTACGATTTGTTACAGGCATGGTAATATACAAGCTGTGTGTGTGTGTGTGTACTGAGGAATCTGACATTTAGGGTCAGCTTCCAGTCTGAGGTCAACAGCACCCCAGACCCAGCTTGGGATCCCAGAGCAGCTTAGTCTGAGGCTCAAGGTCGGCATCCCAGAATCTCTGGGCTGAACATATGGGCAAAAAAGCAGCTTCTCAGCTCAGAACATAAAACATCAGAGTTGAAGAAGTCTTAGTATCCAGCTCTTTCATGGCACAGTTGGGGAAACTGGGTTGCAGGTAAAGTGAAGGACTCACCTGAGGTCCCCCAGTGAGCAGATGGCAGAGCCAGGCTAGGCAGGTGGTATCAGACTCCTAGGCCTGCCCTTGCTGGGTTCTCTGCCAGCAGGCCTCTTCCAGCTGAGCACTAAGGGGTGGGGGCTTGGTCTGCAGCCCCAAAACAAGCCCACATGCCTCTCTAAGTGTGGATACCCAGGATGGGTGTTGCTGCAGCTGCTGTCCCCACAGCCTGGATGGCTGCCGGCTCAGGCAGGACCCCCAGAGGCCAGGGTGGTTGAGGGGATACACAGGGCCCCCTCTCAGCATGCCCAGATGTGTCTCCTGCCTGCTTTTAATTTCATGTGTTAATCAGCAGAGGAACCGAGTCTCTGGCTCTTTTCTTCTGATTCCCTTTTCCAGACATTAGGAGAAGGGG